GCCTGACTAGATGGAATTTCTCAGAATTGTATTAGTTGAATGATTAATTGATTAGTTGTTTAAAATTTTTTCAAATCAACTAGTTGGAAAGTTGGTAACTAGTTAATTTTTCAACTAATGATTTAAAACACACCAATCTAGCTAACAAATTACTTGGAGATATGACAATTTACTAATTTCACTAAGTTATCATACTTCTTAAATTACAGTATTTATTTTTTTTTTTTCTTTGGCAATCCTGTTTACTTTATTATGGGAACAGACTAACATTCTTACATTGGTATACGAAGAAATCACAATCTATAAGTGTTTCAACCAAAGAGTAAACTCACCCTGGCGTACCTCGCAGATGCCGAAACATCTACTTGCGGTCAGGGCGAACCATTAAACCACTGTGTCTTGCCCAGATGCGACCTGCCTAGTAACATTTGACCTCCTCCAGAGATTCGGAAATCACTTCGGACTTATTTCACCCAGATTCACCGGCTGGCTGTTGCTCGCTCTGTCAAGATTCCCGCTCTACAATAGAAGAAAAACTTATGCCATTCTATAAGCATGGTAAAAAAAAAAAATGAATAAACTTGAAATTTTATTTTATCATAACCAAAAGGCTAATTTTTTATGTTTTTGCAATTTTCAGGTTTGCTGTTGCCTTTTTGCGTTGAGAACTTCATAACAGGTGATAGTTTCATCAATGATAAGTTGTTTAATAGGTTTGTATATTTTATATTGCTTATCATTTTCGATATTATCGTTTATAATCTTCACTAATGATTCGAATGTTTTAAGATCTGATATTAACTCTAATTTTCTATTTTCAATAATTTCACAGCGTTCAGAAATGGAAAACTCTGTGTGACTACTTGGTTCCCCTAAAACGGGCACATGTTTTAAGATATTTTGTTGAACATTATTCTAAGGATTATTTTCGATACTAATTTTTGAAAGAATAACTTTACCAAAAGTAATAAATGGATAATCATGGTGACGCATTGTAGTAAGAAATTGTGGAAAGAATGAATGATTGTTTCCAATATATTTTTTTATTAAATGTTTGCATATCATATAAGGACTATATAAGAATGCTATGCATGAACACACCCACATATTTATATCAGTATGATAATTATTTACTAAATTTGTTTTCTTCTCTATTGCAGATTTCCAATCGTACTTGAATGCATCCCACTATGATAGAAATTCACAATTATAGCAGAATCTTATCCAAGCATTTGTCATATCTGGAATTAGTTCTTTAGTAATGATATATGTTAATTGGTCTAGACGTGGTCTATTTACATTATACTTATAATTATATTTAAGAACATGCCAATGCGATTCAGTGATCATAGTAGTTCTGGCAAAAGGCATTGCTTTTGGATAAGCCGCTCATGCAAATAAATTCCAATCTTTCAAGTTGTACTAATGTGCCTACAAATATCCCTATAAATCGATAAGATTCCTTTGGTGACAAAATTGGTAGATTTCTAAAACGCTCTGATATCTAATTTTTTCTGATTTAAAAAATGTGTTTTTGCCTATAGGAATAAGTGGATGCTGTAATGTATGTTTTTTAACTAATCCTATTAATTCTTTTATTAACTCCTTAAGACATATCTTGCTTTGTAGTTCTTCAGGAAGCCAAGTCGGATTAATAAATCCAAATTCAGAATTGGCTTCTTGTGCCCTTAGTGCTGAATATTAACTTCTTCAAGGTTTATTTTCTTTTAGCCTGTGTTTAATTGCATATTCTACGTACCAAAGACAAAGCTGAATTGTTGCTACTTGGGACCAAGCCTCCAGAACAGCATTAATCTTTCCAGAATCTTTGTCTAGAAGCATAAATATTGGTAGGACTCCTTCATTTAGCAAATTGGTAAAAAATTCTCTAAGTACACCAACTCTTGTATTTACTATGTTATCAGGATCTGAGAGCCGTTCTTCTGGTGCCGTAAATGTGTCTAAATACAAATATGCAAGAGAAACGCCATATCCACCACAGTTAACATTTATCACAAAGAGCTCAAATCGTTCTTGGTTTGTTTTAAAGGTCGAATCAATAATGATTTCGCTAATATCATCTTACAAATTTTGAAGGAATGGAGTAGTAAACCCGAGTGAACGTACAAAATCATTCTCTCAGTATTGTATAACCTTAAACCCTGCACTTACCAATTCTCTTTGCTCCAAAAGATTTATAGAAGATTTTACTTGGTTGGCTACATCAGTAATATATAACTTACTGGAAAATTTATGGGCCCAGTAATACACTTGTTAATATGTATGTAGTTTTGGATCAATTAACTTTTCATCACAAAGCTGTTTATAGACTTCAATTTTTCTTAGACTTTGATTAACATGGCATTCTATCCACTTTACTGTGCTTTCTGGCAATCTTATTTCTCTATACGTAGGACGTTGGTGGGCTATTAAATGTTTTACAATTATCTTGGCTTGTTTTTCGCATATATCTATCCTGATTATAATACTGTTATCATATTGAAAATGTTCTATAGCAGGTTGTGCTTCACTTATTTGCTTTATAATTTGATTATTTTGGCCTTTATGTTGACAGTCTGTTCATTGTATACAATTCAGGTAGACTGTTGCACGTTCTGTATACTGACTACCTTTTCTATTCATATATAATTTTCTAATCTCCCAGTAATATCCTGATCCCTCTTGAATAGGTATAAGTAATGCATTGATAATTTCACGAATTTTTTTGGCTTCATCATGATCTAATTCTTGCGACAACACTTCATTATTTTCTAATTCTAGCGACGATATTTCATAATCCAATTTTGGTGATAATGTTCCTTCATGATCCATTTCCATCTCTTGATTATTTAACTCTAACAATAATACTTTTTCATTTACTAATTCACTTTCAATTTTTATTATCGCAGAAAATTCAACCTTATTACCTTCATCATTATCTCTAAAGTTAATATTTACAAGCTCTTCAAGATCGCTCATTTCGTAGAGAAGATCATTATTATTAATTTCACTATCATCTTTATCCGTGAGCATATCATTATTTAAGGGCGGTAATAAAGCATCTTCATTTTCTTTCGATTTATCTTTATGTTTTTTATTTTGATAACTTTGTTTGTCCTTATCAGAACATTCATTATATATAAAACATACTGTCATTTTATTCTTGTAAAATCTTGTAACTTCAGCAGCTGATTTAGTTTTTTTACAGTGAGAACAAAAGTAAGCTTTGACGCTGATAAAATCATTTGAAGTAGACATTTTATTTTGGTTTTGTTTTTATTGATGCGGATTGAGTTCAAATAGATCTACTAATAAGTTTTGCTTTTTGAAATTATACTTAATTGACAGAATAAATAGTGAAGAACAAAGCCAAACATGTGATAAGTAAATTAAGTGTCTATGTTGGTTAATTAATCGATAATTATTATAATTATTATATATCAATGATGAAAATATATCAAAAGGTAGATTATTTAAACTATTTTACTAGTTTAAACTTTATTAATATCAAAAAACCATCTCTTATATAACTTTTAAACTGTATTGAAGATGAAATTGAAAAACTCTTGTGATCTAATTTAAGTAACTATACCCAATCAACAACTAATTACTTGGCCGAGTTGATAAGTTTATAGACATCGGTTGAAAGGTTATGCAAAATTGGAAAAATATGTATAAGTATGCATGAATGCGCATTCATATATATATTTGACTAGACCAAACTTTAATAATTTTAAATTGCCTTTTTTATATTTATAGGCCCTGCATGAATTATAAAAGAATATGCGACTAATACACTAGTTTTTGGTTACTTGAAATTATACATATATGTAAGCAGATGTGCATTAATCATCTCTACGGTTGATACACCAATAGCTGTTACTTATCAATTCGGCTGATGAAGTGATAAAAACTGTGTATAAAGCAAAATAATTCAATATGTATACAGTAATTTTAATGAAAAGAGAGTTTACATTAAAATTAACAAAATACTAACTATTTTGTATAAATCTTAGTTATTTTTATTTCATTTTGCTTGCAGCATAATCACAACTTTGAAACTAACCATCTGCTTATACTTGATATAATTGGAGTTAACGTTATTATTATAACCAGTGTTGGCATTGGACATATGTCTAATGAATTTGAAAAAGATTAGACATATAAAATTTTATATATCCAATCATTTTCAAAATTATTAGATATATGTCCAATGCCAACACTAATTCTAATGATCCTTTTTCTAACATTCACTTCATATTGGCAAAAACTAACATATTGAATGGTGTCATCCTGACATGTCAAATTTTTTTTGATTTTTACCAGTGATTCATCAGCAAAGTCACTTTCCTGACATTACTGTTTTATTTTTTTTTTTTTTTTTTACTTCAGCAATCCTTCCTTTATTTTATAATCGGCAGCAGATTACAATTAGATATCTTAGTTA